AGAGGACCTATTCACCTCCCAAAGGCCCCACCTCCTGGTACTGTCACTTGAGGGGTTAGGGTTCAACATAATGAATTTGGGGTGGGGGTCAACGAACATTCAGACCATACCAATTATTAACATATATTGAAATATTACCCACGTGCCAGGCATTTTGCTAAGCACTTTATATATATATCACATGTCACAATTAGCCAATATATTGATATTACTGCTTATGTACCATTATTGTTCCCGATTTGAAATGAAATTGAGGCCTAGAGAGATGAAGTCACATGCTTGCATTCACTTAGTCATTAATGCAGCCAGGGTTCCGACCCAGATGTTCTGGAGCAGAACGCCAGCTCTGAACCATTGATATAAGCATGTCTTCAGCTGCTTTTACTTCTTATGGGGAATGTGAACAGTGATGGGGAAGGAGAGAGCACTGGCTTTCTTTTCCTGTCATACAAGTGTTTCTTGAGCCCACGTTACTTGCCAGCCTCTCTGCCCAGCACTGGGGGTGGAAATGAAAAGATGGCTGCTGTCCTTGGAGGCCTCATGGTGGAGGGAAGGAGCCAGGTGTTTGAATTTTTTGTTTTGTTTTGTTTTTTTATTGAAGGACAATTGCTTTACAGAATTTGTTGTTTTCTGTCAAACCTCAGCATGAATCAGCCGTAGGTATACATATACCCCCTCCCTTTTGAACCTCCCTCTCATCTCCCTCCCCATCCCATCCCTCTAGGTTGATACAAAGCCCCTGTTTGAGTTTCCTGAGCCAGACAGCAAATTCCCGCTGGCTATCTATTTTACATGTGGTAATGTAAGTTTCCATGTTACTCTTTCCATTCATCTCACCCTCTCCTCCCTTCTCCCCATGTCTGTAAGTCTCTCTGTCTATCCATAAGGCCTCATGTCTCTTATGTCTGTTTTTCCACTGCTGCCATGTAAATAAATTTTTTAGTACCATTTTTCTAGATTCTGTATATATGTGTTAGAGTACATTATCTTTCTCTTTCTGACTTACTTCACTCTGTATAATAGGTTCTAGGTTCATCCACCTCATTAGAACTGACTCAAATGCATTCCTTTTTATGGCTGAGTAATATTCCATTGTATATATGTACCACAAATTTATCCATTCATCTGTCTATGGACATCTAGGTTGCTTCCATGTTCTAGCTATTGTAAATAGTGCTGCAATGAACTCTTTTTCAATTTTGGTTTCCTCAGAGCATATGCCTAGCAGTGGGATTGTTGGGTCATATGGTGGTTTTATTCCTAGTTTTCTAAGGAATCTCCATACCATCTTCCATAGTTACTGTATCAATTTACATTCCCACCAGCAGTGCAAGAATGTTCCCTTTTCTCCACACCCTCTCCGGCATTTATTGTTTATAGACTTTTTGATGATGACCATTCTGATCAGTGTGAGGTGATATCTCATTGCAATTTTTTTATTTGCATTTCTCTAATAATGAGTGATGTTGAGTATCTTTTCATGTGTTTGTTAGCTATCTATATGTTTTCTTTGGAGGAAAGTCTGTTTAGGTCTTTTTCCCACTTTTTGATTGGGTTGTTTGTTTTCCTGGTATTGAGTTGTATAAGCTGCTTGTATATTTTGGAAATTAATCCTTTGTCAGTAGTTTTATTTGCTGTTATTTTCTCCCATTCTGAGGGTTGTCTTTTCACCTTGCTTATAGTTTCCTTTGCTGTGCAAAAACTTTTAAGTTTAATCAGGTCCCACTTGTTTACTTTTGTTTTTATTTGTTACTCTAGGAGGTGGGTCATAGAGGATCTTGCTTTGATTTATGTCATTGATTGTTCTGCCTATGTTTTCCTCTAAGAGTTGTATAGTTTCTGGCCTTACATTTAGGTCTTTAATCCATTTTGAGTTTATCTTTGTGTATGGTGTTAGGAAGTGTTCTAATTTCATTCTTTTACATGTAGCTATCCAGTTTTCCCAGCGCCATTTATTGAATAGGCTTTCTTTGCCCCATTGTATATTCTTGCCTCCTTTGTCAAAAATAAGGTACCTGTAGGTGCATGGGTTTATTTCCGGGCTTTCTATCTTGATCCCTTGGTCTGTGTTTCTGTTTTTGTGCCAGAATCATAGTGTCTTGAATGCAGGTGTTTGAATTTGATCTCACGGTGCTTTGCTGTGAGTGCTCAGTTAGCTTTTCATTGGAGGCCCCCAGTTAGGAGGAAAGGGAAGGATGAGGATCCACTCACAGAGGAGGAGATGACACTCCCTCACGCCTCTGGTCATCACTTAAGACATCAGTAAGCAATGGCAGCTGGCAGTTTCTTATAGGGAAGCTTCTTACAGAGCTTCCAGGGAGGCTATAGGGCAGGCACGCCACTTGCTTCTGAGCATACATGGTTTAATGGGAGAGTTTGCAGTGTTCAGGCAGTGGGTACCGTGGAAAAGTTCAGTGGTGCTGATGGCTTCTTTGAGTCATTGATTCAGCTCAGCACCCTTGAGCACCTATTATGTGTTTGACAGATTGACCTTGGATAATAACTTTCTTCAGGTCTAGACTCATCCTCCCAGCTCCACTTGGCTTTGCTACCCTCACCTTCAACTTGCTACATCCAATACCAAACCCATCATCTTCCTCCAGTGTGCCTTTCTTCCTGTATCCCCTGTCCTGGAGACGTCTTCACCAACCCAGGAAACCCTGCTGTCTTCCTCTTCCTCTCTAGTTTCCTCATGTCCAAGATCTCTTCTTCTGAAATCCCTCAAGATTTGACTTCTTCGTTCTTTGTTGCTCTTCTCCAGACATGAAGTCAGCTTTTCATTTCACATTCATTTTTTCTGTCAAACCCTTACTGCATCCAAGGCATGGACCTCCATCCTGGGACTCTCCATTTGAGCATCACTGGCATCATCCTTCATCTTTCTAAGCTCACAGTCAAGGAGGGATGCAGACAAGTAAACGGACAGTTACAGCCCAAGGATGGTACAGATGCTGAGAGGACTGTGTGTTAGGAAGGGCCCCTGACCTCATCACCGGTCATCAGAGAAGGATTCCAGGAGCACCCAATGGCCTACCTCAGAAGTGAAGGCTGGGTTAGAGAGAACCAGACGCTGGATGGGGACTGTGAAGGTGAGGGAGGAGGAGGAAGGAGGGGACAGGACTGGAATACGTGAGAGCAAGAATGGTGGTTCTTACCACCATGTCCCCAGCATCCTGCTCATCTCTTGGTGAGTCGTAGGTGTTCAGTACGTGTAGAATAAGCAAATGCATGAGGATTTCCTTCCCAGTAAACCACATATGCAAAGGCCTCGGTTCTAAAGAACACATGGGGGAAGGGAGAATTGAAAGATGTTTGTGTGGAACTTAGAACAGTGCTGGGGAGCCACTGAACAGGAGGTGAGAGCTATGGGCCAGGTCATGTGACTCCCCCTGCTGAGCTGATGAAGTACAGACTGTTTACTGCACTGCTTACTGTATACCTGCATCTCTCCCCTTCTCTGTTCCAACCCCGGAGTCCCTGCAGACCTTCCTGCCCCAACGCACTCTCAACGCCTGCTGGGCTCCATTCAGTCTCTTCTTATTCTCCCTGGATCATGTCCCCTCTTCCTTCGCTTCCTGTGCCAAGGATGAAGCTTCCCCCAGTGCTTACACATCCTTCTGACCCAGTCCAGATTCACCTTCCATTTTCTTTAGTCTTCTGGAACCTTGTATTCTGTTGTAGCTGTTATCACATTCCACCTCCTGTTCATATTTAATTGTGTTTGTAGTTAACTGTCTCTTTAAATAGTAAGAGCTCCTTGAGATTGTGGTAGGGGGAGGGAGGAGGTCCTTCTCATCTTTAGATTTCTCAGAGGTGCTCCTTCATTACAATGCGTTCTCTTATTATGACTAGCACTGTGGCATCTACGGTAGTAGTTCTGCTGGGTTGAACTTTGGCTTTGTGCCTGGCAGTCCCTCAAGAAGGCATCTCCACTGTCAATTATTATCCCACCTATGCTTGTTGTTGAGATGCAGCGAGTATTGTACTGTGTGTCTCACCTAATTGACCCAGTAGCCCCAAGGGGACACTTCATTGTGCACAGGCAGTGCGGGGGTGTAAGTGACATGTTCAAAGCCCCCTCCATAGATGCTAGGTCTGGGCTTCAGACCTATTTACATTTGAATCAGAAGATTTGCCCTTGTGTGCTACTGGTTTGTATTTTGGGTGCTGGCTCAGTATGACAGCGGGACGACTGAGATGGACTGATAAAGACCTTAGAAATATTACATGTGAGGGTGAGCTGATATTCAGTAATGGGAGCCCCAGGTGATGCCATTGTGGCTCCCTGAGGGGTGGGGATGGACATGGAGGGGAACAAGCAGAAGACAGGATTTAGTGTTTAGTGCTATGCTATGAGAGAAATACTTGCCAGCTCCATACAGCCAGTCTAAAGACCTCATCCTCTGTCCACATGCTTCACTGAGGCCAGTACATCCGGGTGGTAAAGATAAAGCATTGGCCAAATTGTACACACGCTATGACTTTTGGAAATACAGATGCCCTAATAGCAGGTATGGTGGTTGGCTTGCATTGAGTATCACCAATGATTTTACCCTCTCTGGTCCTTGGAGTTGCCGCATCTCTGAAATCTTGAGGTTGGATGAGATGTCCTCTCTCCTTGTCATCCCTGACATCCTCCCCAGTAGGCACTGGTTAGGCAACATGGCTGGTTGACCTTCCCCATTGCTGTTACAAATTGGTTACGCGTGTTGCTCAGTCACTTCAGTCGTGTCCAAATCTTTATGACCCTGCCGACTGTAACCTGCCAGGCTCCTCTGTCCACGGGATTTCCCAGGCAAGAATACTGGAGTGGGTTGCCGTTCCGTTCTTTAGGGGATCTTCCCTACCCAGGGATCGAACCCACATCTGCTTTGCAGGAGGGTTCTTTACCGCTGAGCACTGGGGAACCCAAATATTACCAGTTGGTAAGAGTGGGTTTTTGTCGCTAGAATTCAAAGGTCTTGGCTCTCCCTCCTGACTTCTCCTCTCACTGCCCACAGGCGGAACCCCTTGCATTTCCACCTCATTGCCGACTCCATCGCCGAGCAGATCCTGGCAACGCTCTTCCAGACCTGGATGGTACCTGCGGTGCGTGTAGACTTCTACAATGCTGATGAGCTCAAGGTACTGGCAGGAAGAGGTTCATGCTTTTCTTGTTTAAGGTTTAGTAGACAGAAGCAAAGGCAGAAATCTCAACTCCCAACTGGAAACGTCCAGGTGTAGCTGAGGGTTTTTGCCACTCGAAATTGATGCGATTATCTGAAGCATTAAAGTAACTACCTCTTTGACACAGGATACATGTTCATCTAGGCAATTCTGACCACCAAGCCTTTCTGTGGAGGCTGGAGGCTTCTGGCCTGGTCCGTATCTAAAGGAGGCCCATGGTGGCTGATATCTAGAGAATTCGTTTATCTGGTCCGGTCAGCACTGAACTCAGAGTGTGATGGGACTGGGTTTGAACTTGTGTATTGTCATTTACTGGTTGTAAGACACAACGTTATACCTTTGCTGGGTCTGATTTTTCACGTGTAGAAATGTGATTATAACACCAACCTCGTGGAGTAATGGCTCAAATGAGAGAATATATGTGAGCATACTTAAAAAGACTATGCTGAATAGAGACTTCCCTAGCAGTCCATTGGTTTAGACTCTGCGCTTCCACTACAGGGGCCACAGGTTTGATCCCTAGTTGAGAAACTAAGATTCCTCATGCCATGTGGCATGTCCAAATAACCCCTACAAGATTAGGCTGAATAAATATTAAGGATTATGTTGGGCCAGAAGGTTTCAATGAAATGAGGATCATTTGGCCATATCATTACCTTGCTTGAAATCCTGCCGTAGTACCACGTGGTCTGTGCCAAGCTTGAGTTTCACAGTCTGATTAAAACGCCCTTCATATTCTGGCTCTAGACTCTTCCAGTCTCATCTCTGGCCGTTCCTTCAAATTCACTTATTACTTAGCTCTAAGAAACCACCTCTGGGCTCTCTGCCCTCCTTCTGTGTCTGAGCCTTTCTTTCTATCTGACATGCCCTTCCAGCTAACTTGTCATCACTCCACTCATCCGTCAGGACTCAGCTCCACGGCCACCTCCTCTGAGACCCTCCTGTGACTCCCTCAGGGAAGAGGAAGATCTTTTCCGTTCACTTGTCCAACTACTGCTTTAGCATAGAACCTTCTTAATGGGGGACGGGGCTGGGAACACATCTTGTTCTTTTCTGTATTTCTGGCGATTGGTTGGTACCCTGTGCTGCGAGTGGATTTTACAAATTGCTGTTATTAGTGGAACATGTAACTTTGCAGAAATTGTGGCTGCTCCATCTCCAGTCACCTTGGGAAGGACTAAACACCTAGGCATGAGGCTGATTTTAGCAAATTGCTTGGTCTAAACCTCCTAAAGCCATTATCTTTTCATTTCAGAGCCATAACATTTTAAATAGATCACCGAGATGCCGGCCAGAGTTTCTGATTTTCCCATATTTCAGGCTCTGAGGTTGATCGAGATGTTGAGAATTTAGCATTTGGGGATTGTCGTGGCAATTTGTGTGCCATTCCAATCTATTCTGAGCTAAAATTGATTAACACTCTTAAAAAGGGAAAAACAAAATTTAGCAAATTGCTGCACTAATTAAGGTGAAAGCAAGCCTCTCTGTCTCCCAGGGTCTGAGCACCAACATCATGGGGAAGAGCTCCGGGAGGGGAGGAGCTGTGTCTGGCACAGAGGGCTGCTGCGTCTCTCTTAGCGTGGCTCCAAGTCTGTGCTCTGTGTAAGCCTGGACCCCCCTGCTTTTTACGAGAACACAGAGTGGTTGAAAAAGCCCCAACTTCATATCCCGTCTTGCCACTAAAGAGCTGTCTGACTTGGGCTTGAGAAAGTCAAACCCAAGTGAAAGTGAAAAGTGAAATGTTAGTTAATCAATTGTGTCTGACTCTTTGCCACCCCATGGACCAATATAACCCTGCCAGGCTCCTCTGTCCATGGAATTCTCCAGGCACGAATACTGGAGTGGGTAGCTATTCCCTTCTCCAGGGGATCTTCCTGACCCAAGGATCAAACCCCGGTCTCCTACATCACCGGCAGATTCTTTACCTCTGAGCCAGATGGGTAGGACATTGCCAGACACAGAGGAAGATACTGGATGAAACAAGATAACTCACGTGAAGGCCCCGCGGTGCCTGAGAGGCAGCAGGTTCTTGACAGTCCCTTATTCCCCTTTGTGGCCATGGCAGTGTAGGATTGAAATGCTCTTAATTGTATGGCCTGCAGGGAAATACCCGGGCCATGGGGAGGTTGAAAGGTAAGGCACTGTGGCCTGTAACCTGCCCCTGGGAACCCTAAGACTTTCTTAGAGTCCTGGAAGAAAGGAGGCAGGTGAGATTGGGAAAGATTGGAGTTCTGACTCCATCATGCCCACATGAATCCAGGTATCCATTATTTTTACACACTGTTTTTTTTGACCTTGCTGGGTCTTCGTTGTTTCATTGCTTTCTCCAGTTGCAATGAGCAGGGGCAACTCTTTGTTGGGGTGCGTGGGCTTCTCATTGCGGTGGCTTCTCTTGTTATGGAGCATGGGCTTTAGAGTGTGGGCTCCAAGTTGTAGCGCAAGGGCTTAGCTGCTCCGTGGCATGTGGAATCTTCCCGGCCTGGAGATCAAACCCATGTGCCCTACATTGGGAGGTGGATTCTTAACCACTAGACCACTAGGGAAGCCTGCACACTGGATTTTTATCCATTTGAAGACTGCTTGGCTTAAAAAATAAGAATTAAAAAGAAGATTGCCAGGTGATGTATTCTGGAGGATCTGGTCTCCAGAGTCCTGCCCTTGACCCTGTCTTCGACTGATGTCTGCATTGCAAAGACCCTCCCACCTGCATTTTATTTCCTTACCACTTAAACATCTATCACCCACAGTCCTGTATCCCGTGAGGCGAGTTGTCAGAATCTGGTAAGGACAATGAGTATGAGGCATTTTGTAAAATGTAATTTTTCCATAATTCATGAGAACGGTCATAATAATTTATGCATAATTCTGCTCGACAAACCTAAATCATGATCTGCCCACTCTCCCAACCTGAGCCTTCCTCACATCTAGCACCACCATCTACTTAGCTGCTTGTCCAGAACTAAGAGTCTGCCTTCAGTGGGTCCCTTTCCTTCTCTCTGTATCTGGCCATTCGAGGTCCAAGCTTGTCTCCATCTCCCCTGACACTATCATAGTCTAAGCTCGTGAGATTTTTCCCCAGACAAATCTCTTCCCTTCTTATCTGCCTACATCTCCTTTACTGAATCTATTCTTCATCAGTAACATAAATCAACTTCCCCATAGGAAAGCCCAACCACACCATCTCTGTCCTCTATGTAAAACCTTTGATGGTTTCCTGGTGCTTTTAGGATGGAGAGTACAGCCCTTAACTGAGCTGTGTTTCTGGCTCCTGCCTCCTTCCAACTTCTTGTATTGTTAGCACCACTGCTCACCTGCTGAATTTTCCAGGCTACTCTGCTCCTTCCCTTCTTCTGGGGGCCTTTGCACACGTTATTTCTTCTGTCTGTTGTATTTGGAGTCTGTTCTTTCCCCATCGTTAATTAACTCCCCATTATTTTGCTGAGCCTCTGTGTACTTGAGGAAACCTCTGCTTTCATCATCTCATAGGGGTTTCTTTGTTATGTGTTCTTGGAGGATTACATACTTTTCTTCTGTAAACTCACCACTGAGTGTAAACTTTCATGCCTTTGAGTGATGAGCGGGTAAATGTCTACCTTCCCTCAAGTGTAGGGTCCAAAAGAGCTAGGCTTCTGTTTTTTATCACTCTTGTATCCCTACCACCTGGCATGATGCCTGGCCTATGAAAATGTTTGCTAAATGAATACACAGTAAACTCAGTGCTGGGTGCTGGAGAGACAGACGCAAAGTCATTAGGAAAGGATTTCAGTTTTGTTTTGTTTTATTTTAATTGGAGTATAGTTGATTTGGAATGTTGTGTTAATTTCTGCTGTGCAGCAAAGTAATTCAATTATACGTGTGTGTGTGTGAGCATGTGTATTGAAGTAGGAAATGGCAACTCGTTTCACTATTCTTGCCTGGAAAATTACAGGACAGGAGCCTGGCAGGCTACAGTCCTTGGGTTTGCAAAGAGTCAGGTGCAACTGAGCATATATTAATATATATATGCATTCTTTTTATGTTCTTATCCATTATGGCTTATCATAGGATATTGAATATAGTTCCCTGTGGTTTACAGTAGGATCCTGTGATTTATCCATTCTCTATACATAAAGTAGTTTGCATCAGATCCCAAACTCCCAATCCGTCCCTCCCCCAACCCACCCCCCTCACCCCGGCAACCAGTCTGTTCTCTATGTCCGTAATTCTGTTTCTATTCCATACATATGTTCATTTGTGTCATATTTTAGGTTCCACATGTAAGTGATATTTGATGCCTATTTGTCTGACTAACTTCACTTAGTGTGATAATCTCTAGTTGCCTTGATGTTGCTGCAAATGGAATCATCGCCTTCTTTATGGCTGAGTAGTATTCCATTGTGTGTATGTTCAGTTCAGTTGCTCAGTCGTGTCTGACTCTTTGCGACCCCATGAACCGCAGCCACATCTTTATCCATCTTTAGCCATTCATCTGTCAATGGACATTAGATTGAGGAAGGAGTTCTGGATCACTGTCAGGACTTAGCACATTCCTGAGGCCCATTGTACCTCAGGGCGCTGGCAGACAGCCAGGTGTTTGTCTACCAGTGACCGTGCAGTAGCGTAGATAAAACAGCCCCACCTGTAACAACCCACCTTAATCCCAAGAGCAGCCGTGGTGCAGACGTCTTTCCATGACAGGGAAAGCAGGAAGGGGATGCAGTGAAATGCCATCCACCAGATGATGTTAGAGGAGTGACAGATGATGACGTGGAATCGTGCTGATTCTGTACTTGCATCCAGGAAACATGTCGGATGGTACGCACAGCAGACGCATAAGACGGCCTCCCCCGATATGGCTGAGAAATCATTTTATATAGCTGTTGGAAATGACATTTCTCAGAAATACTCCTGTGGGGCCCTTATTCTGTCTCTTAGTGCTGGAGAATGGACAAATAGGGGAAAGGAAATTATGAAGGATC